CAAGTGCATGTTAAATAGGTGCGCAGCTGTAGAAGTGTTCTTCCACTTTCGTCACTCGAAAGTGCGCCAAATTGATTACCAGATGCCGTTCCAAACTACTTTTACAGGCACGCTCAAGCGTAACCAGGCATACACCTAGTAGAGCCAAAAAATTTTAATTGTTTGCCTTCCCTCACGCTTGGTTACTCTCTATAAATGGCTGCAGTAGGTATTATGCCGTTCATGTTGTTCGCTGCGAAACCTCGGCATCGTGGGCATGCCGCACTTTGTGGCGCTACTCAATCTCACCTGCCTCCACCATCGTTAACACGCACAGTGGCAATGATTAACAAATGAAACCAGTTCCCACCAACATGAATGCCATCACTTCTCTTATCGCACTTTTGGTTATCAATTCCAGAAAATTGCAAAAAAACCACATCGGTCCAATGCGAAATGGGTGGATTTCCTCATCCTCGAGACTGCCAAAAATGCATCTGCCCCGGGTTATGCCGAAAGCGCCGTGCCACTGCACGAGAATGAGCCTGGAATCAGATACAAACGGCATAGTGTGCCAAAAAGTTCGCGTGCAAAAAGTGCTCTGCTGTAAGCCATCATCAGGGTGCGATACAATAAGCCTTCGCGTCTAATTTTGGACGAAGACTTGAGAATACTGTCGGCCTTGGCCGTGATGAGCAAGAAGACTTTGAGACATGTCACTACTGGATTGAAGTGAGTTTTGTACCCTCAAAAAGTTTAGGCAGCCGTTCATTTACGGTTGCATCGTATGCTCACGCGCCTAAAACTCGCATTAGCGGGAGCCTCAGTGAAAGAGCGGTCATTAATAACTCCTCCCTGAGTGTCCAGCAGTGACACTTCTCAGTCGGCCACTAGTTATAATTGCTCGCCTTTTGCAGTCTCCTGAAGGAACCGAAATCGAAGTGAAATTAGTGAATTTCACAAAAGGCCTTTCTGTTGACGGATGCAGTTATGCAGGTGTAGAGATCAAGACCAACAAGGACCAAACGCTCACTGGTTACAGGTACATTGGTTGAAAAAAATTAGAAGTTTGGTAAGCTCAATTCGAACAAAAGAACGAATTGGACTGAAATGGCAGTTTGTTCTTGGCGAAACAGTAGCCAAAATGACCGACACGATCGCCTAAGAGTCATGCAGGAAGCCTAAAAAACAAACATGGGATGTTAAGATTCTTGCCCTCACTGACGCGGCTGGAACAATTCTTCGTTCTTACATAAATCCGCGTCCCAATTATGACATATAACAGGATTGTCAAAACGACTACTGTCCTTGAATATCGACACGGTACTGTTTCATTATTTCATGTCTCGGAAAAACTCAGACTAACCTGAAGCACTCAGTCCCTGCGAACTCACCAAGACCTACGACTCCTACCACCACTACTACTACAACTACGACAACAACAAAACGACCTGTTCCATTTATAAACACAGGAACTGACTCTAAATGCGAGGACAACCATTCGTAAGAAACGTTTTCCTATCACTGATTCTTTGTCGAAAATTATCCAGAGTATACTTTCAGGTGCCGCTCTCTTGTACCGAGTGGTTTCTGCAAGGGGACACTATCAGAGGCCACCAAGAAGAAAGTGTGTCCGAAGTCATGCGGTTTCTGTGATTCTTTGCACTGACTGCAATAAAGTTGCCGTGAATCGCTCTGATCAACACCACATCTTATTGTCAGTGCAGAGTGCATAGTCGCCTATTCAATCGTTCAATGACGTTTGACGGGTTGTCAAGGAGGTGGTGGAGTCTCCCTCTTTGCATCATTTATGCATAACTCCTCACCAACATAATTCAGCTTGTCAGGACAAGACCGGACGTAGGAAAGTGAAGTTCACATGGTTCCATGGTTTTGATCAAAGCTTTCATACGAATCAGGTATTCCAAATCCCTCATACCACTCAGGACTGAGTAACAATCGCTAGATGGGTTGTCGTATTTGAGTGACTTCTGAGAGAAGAGTCGTGTTTGGCTCGCTCTTTACCAACATGGAGGGTTGCGAATGCATGGGAGAAGAGCTGAAACTGTATAACTACCTGGTATTGTATAACTACTCTTCTCCGGCCGATGCTTGATGAAAGGGACTAGGACAACCTCGTAGGTGATTGGAAGGGTCGAGAAACTCGAGAAAAAAGAAAAAAACGATCAGCACCACGGCGTGCCTCCCAGCCATTTCGCTTTTGCAGGTACGTTCCTCTTTCTTTTCTTTGGGGCTCCTAGTGGTCGCTCGCCCTCTACTTGGAATTTTCAATGAATTCCTTATTGGGTGGTCTTCAGCCCTCCTCAGTGCCCATACTATCGTAATCGCTGCTCTCGCGCCCTCTGCTGGATCGGAGCCGTCTGGTGACCAGCCCTTAACGTTCTCGTTTCTGACTCTGTGAAGTCGTGTCCAACGGCCGGCCCATCTCAGCATCCTAATTTCAGCTGAGTGGAGCTGCCTTTCATGATTCTTGCATATGGGCCAACACTTACTTGCCCTAAAGCCTTGTCAGATCTTTACGCCCGATACACCTTGCCCTTGAACGTTCTCGAGCAAAGCCGGTCGCAGAGGATGTCAGTGGGCTCTCTCCATTTCATCCAGGCTGCATTGATTCGGGTCTTTACCGCTTGGTCCACAGAACCATCAGCTGCGATATCGCTCCCCAGGTACTGGAACTCCTCTGATGCACCCTTTTGATGCTTTCGCTATGGCGGTCTGCACTATTCGGAGCTAAATAACTTGGTGTTCTTCACATTCAGCCAGAGTCCACTCTCAGCGAGTACATCGTGTCACCGCTGCACCTTATCCTAGAGTTCTTCACCGCTATCTCCTATAAGTGCATCGACGTAGAGGATGGTTTTCAGTTGTCCCTCCTTGAGTTCTTTTGCCATGACATCCACAGACAGAGAATCACAGGACACAGCCTACTCAGTATCGTCGCAGTGTCTGCCCCAGCAGCGAGTTGCACTTTATTAGGAGATAAGCGGTGGAAAAACCTAGGGCCTCGCAGGTTGTGACGACGCAGAGCTGGATGACTAGCTGATAGGGGCAAGATAAGATACTGTCTGCCCTTGCTGATTCGGCGACAGTGCCTAGAGCCTTTACACTTACAAAAACTACAGAGTTTTAAGTGACGAGGGAACATGTGCATGACGGCTAAATTACAATCTTATCAACATGTATAAGGAAAGATAGGAGGCCATTCTCACCACACCTCTGTACGGCCAGACATTAGAGGCTCAGTTCTTTTTCAGCCATTATTTTCTGATAGCAGCAGAAAATGAACTCATTCCACCATCCTACCATATATATTTTACTATATATACCATTTTCATTTCAAATTCGTCTTTTTTCAAACCAAATTCACCTTTTTCACAACCGAATTCGTCCTTTCAAACCAAATTCGTCCTTTTTCAAACCAAATTACCCTTTTTCAAAGCAAATTCACCCCTTTCAAACCAAATTCACCCTCACTTTTCATCAAGTTGACCACACTTATTAGGGCAACTCATCAACCAGATCACGCCAGACATCACTGCGAGCCCCGCCTCCGACGGCCACGCCCACTTGTCAGCGCGGACATAGATTCTCAAATCTTGTTTCATAACTTCTGCTTTTGCTGTTTCCCAGAAACACTTTGACTGAAAACCACCGTGCATTCACATGTGGCCGACTCCGCCCATTCTCTAAAGGGTTTGGCACTCTAGGCTGACCACGCCCACTGGCTTTTCGCGGAATTTCGATGTTTTTTCAAAATTTTTGCATTTTAGGGTTGCTGCGTGAAGCCCCGCCCACTTTGAATAAGCCCCGCCCACTTTTCAAAAATGGTGCAGATCGGCAGTATAGAGCTTGGCTTGCATGCTAGGGTATTGCTGATCATTCGGAATAAACTTTGTCCGGATTTTCTTGTTCCGAGTGATACGAGACCCGTAGGCATGCAAGCCCAAGCTCTATTCTCTGCCGAGCTGCCCACCATTTTGAAAGTGGGGGGGCTTATTCAAAGTGGGCGGAGCATCTTACAGTGGGCGGGGCTTCACGCAGCAACCCTAAAATGCAAAAATTTTGAAAAAACATCGAAAAGCCAGTGGGCGTGGTCAGCCTAGAGTGCCAAACCCTTTGGAGAATGGGCGGAGTCAGCCATGTGTGAACGCACGGTGGTTTCAGTCAAAGTGTTTGTGGGAAACAGCAAAAGCAGAAGTTATGAAACAAGATTTGAGAATCTATGTCCGCGCTGACAAGTGGGCGTGGCCGTCGGGGCGGGGCTCGCAGTGATGTCTGGCATGATCTGCTTGATGATGCCCGCCCTTATAAGTGGTTAATTTGATGTGAAAAGTGAGGGTGAATTTGGTTTGAAAAGGGCCAGTGAATTTGTTTGAAAAGGGCGGTGAATTTGGTTTGAAAAAGGGTGAACTCAAAGTGAAAATGGTATATATAGTATGCATGAAACAGGAAAATACGAGAAGTCAACCACCACTCTCACCACTCCTAGAAGGCTAAGTATACACTGCAGTTCGCTCGCTGCGGACGGTTGGGCGTGCCTGTGCGGCTGCGTTTGGCTTGCGTGGCCAAACTCGCTTCTGCACCCCAGTGGGTTGAAGCGCGCAAGCTGTACAATGCCGGTATCATATGGCTCAGTATTACTCGTTTTTTACCACTTTTTGTCGCATGCGCTCTTCAACAAGAAGGCAGAGAACGGCTCTGTTAGGGTGACAAACTCATACTAGCTGACACGCCCAACCGTCCGCCATGGAGAAGCTACACGTGTATACACTCCACCCCCCCTCCCCCTTTTACAACCGCTCCTGTGGACGACGAGAAAATCAACTGTCAAAATTAAATTTTTTCTCTGCCCAAATACGACCCCAATCTCCTGGCGGCCGAATACGATCCACCTGTCGGGGATTCCCAACAACGATGTGCCCTGCCAGGCAATGAAACAAAGATCAATCTCTTTTCGTTCGAGTTTCGGACCGATATTGAGCCCATCCCTTGGCCATCATGCCATCCTTTAGGTTCCTGAGCCTACACTATCTTATGTCACTAATTGCAGACGCATTAGTCACATAGAGAACTTTCAACACAAGAAAAATTATTACAGTGAGAGAATATGTTGTTTACAATTTAGTAATATTAGGTTGTTGGTGGGAAAGTTCTGTCATACTTTTTTGAACCCAAGTACATATTTGCCTATTACCTGAAGAGGGTCAACCGGTAATGTGTAGTAGTAATATTATCCTACGGTATATATAATCCGCTAACGTGGTCGGTGGTGTTCGCGTCTGTCTGTTGTGAATGATATGTTGTGTCTGTGTGTTTGACCGGAAATTCATAACTTCCTTCAAAACAGCGACTGTGCGCTCAAACTGATAAGAGATATAGGGGGTCGTGCAGGAACACTATTGGTAGGGGGCAAGAAGTGATAACAGCTGATAAGATAACATAAGGGGCCTTAGAAGGGGAGGGTCGCCAACTTCTTAACGCGCGTCACAGCGACGATGGGACGTTGGTTCCAAGAACTAAGATAGGGGGCAGGATGGAAACATTATTGGTGGGTGGTGGCACAGGACTGATAACCAGGGCTGATAAGATAAACAAAAGGAGCTTAGAGGGGAGCCGTCTCAAAATCCATAACGTGCGTCCACAGTGTAGGTAGGGTTGGTCCAGAGAAATTAAAATAGGGGCAAGATGGAAACATTAGTGGTGGGTGGCAGGAAGTGATAAGAGCTGATAAGATACCATAAGGAGCCTTAGAAGGGGAAGGTCTCAAAATCCATAACGTGCGTCACAGTGATGGTAGGGTGTTTTTCCAAGAAATAAAATAGGGAGCAGGATGGAAACATTAGTGGTGGGTGGCAGGAAGTGATAAGAACTGATAAGATACCATAAGGGGTCTTAGAAAGCGAGGGTCATCAAATTCATAGCACCGGCCACAGCGACAACGAGACATTGGTTCTAAGAAGTAAGACAGGGGCAGGGTGGGAACATTATTGGCGGGTGGAAGGAATTGATAACAGCTGATGAGATAGCCAGGAAAATTCAAAGCAGAGTTGTAGCAACACTGGGAACTGCTCCAGCAAGTAATTCAGAGGTGCTTAGGGAACATTAAAGGTGGAAGATAAATCCTGTCATTGTCCTACAAGGGCTTTTGGGAGTCCGTATCTGCTCACATCACCGTAACCAAAGAATCAATGGGCGAAGGCTTAGTAAGTCAAGATAATTCCTATCAGTAAAATCCCTCAGTTTAGCGGTCGGAATTGCTTCCACCGCTAAACGCTCGAGTTCCCCGAAAAAGGATGTATGGAGTTGTTGCCCAGTGAGGAATGATAAGAGCCACTGTGATTTCGATATTTTTAATATCGGAATCCTTCCAACCGCTATGCTGTCCGATTTCCAACAAATGGTGATTCAAGAAATATGATAAGACCTAACATCGGCAAATGTTCATTAAAAGGGAGAAACATGATGAAATGGGCCGTTTTGACATAGGAATTAGGGTAAGTGTTAGTGCTCAGCACAGGAATCCTGTCAGTTATCAGTAACAAAGGTTTAACCACGCGCAGAACTGCGCGTCAGCCAGACTGGTATTATTATAATACATCAAGGATTGGTCTTTCTATTGGTATCACTGGCTCGACTCCTGCTTCTCCT